ATGCCAAGCATGAAAGGGCCTTGCGACACTGCTGTCCTGCCCGGCGGCCTGCTACGTCGTCGTTCCATCATCGTCTTTACGAAGATGGGATACTCCGGTCACCACTGCCGACCAAATGGTCCACCAAAACCCAAAAAATAAAAAAAATTTTTGGCTGGAAGTTCGTCCATAAGGGTAATCGATGGTCCTGATTACGATTTTGACACTTATTTTCGACGTCGACGCAATTTGGCGCCAGTATAGCGCTTAACGTCCCTCATATGGGGGTACATAGATACTTTTCGCTCCTTTTTTGGCGTTCCTGGGGCCGCTCAGCGAAAATGAACCCCACTTCTGTGGTCTATGTTCAAGCCCCTACAAAATGCAAAAAACCATTTTGAAAAAGCGGGGCACGCCCTGAACAACCCTACTCGTAAGTGTAATGCTAAAATTATTGCGAAGGTAGCGTAGGGTAAGTGGCGCCAACTACTTCGCGCGTAGTCAGAGGGGTTAGAATTGAGTCGGTTTCCGCCAACGAGGACTCTCATCCCTTTGCAGTCGGCGTATTACCTGGAAGGAGAAAAACGCAGCACATGGGCAGGCCTGCACACCCATGCGCCCCTGCATGTAAAAATGTACAGTAACTGCTGTTAACCGCAAGAACTGCTAATAACTGTATAATTGCTATTCTTAAGTAGAATACGTGACGTGCTCCAGAAAGGTTTGTTGAACTCGCGACTTGACAGCGAAATAATACCTGTTCGTCCTGGGTGGTTTACCTATTCGTCCTGGGTTTATATTGTTATGCTACACATCAGCCTCATTCGATCAGGACCCTTACCTCTTTATTCGGATTCTCGTGCCGAGCTGCTTAACGGTGCACTTGACAGATTTGTCTACTTTGCGACAAATACCACCAACCATGGCTGTAGCTTTCCCTACCACGCCTTCTATTGGATACATGTCACTAATGCTGCAACAAGAAAATAAAGAATGAAAACAATATTTTTTCTCTCAACTACAACTATAGTGCTAAGAACCACCTGCATTCATCATTTGTCATGATTTTCCAGAAACAGTGGGCTGCCGTAATTATGTGACGTTTTGACACCAGTGTACCTCCGCATGATCCTGAATATTTGATGTGGCACAGACAGAAGAACCACTTCGAAGTCACCCTGTCATTCTTCTTTGTGGTACTTCTTCGATCTGCACTGGCTATCTCAGGAAGAATCACAGTTTGAACGCGGTAAATAATGCGATGCTTACTGTCGTCGAGTTCTATGAAAACACTCCAAGGGAACTCTCCCATCAAAGCGTCTCTGCCTCCCATGATCTGCAACATTTTACAAATAGCTACTACAGCTAACGATATTTGGCTAGCGCAGAGTATTGCACGCTTCACTCGGTGAGCTGACCCCTTACTGGTTGCCTCCGTCATGAAGGCTGCACGTGGATTACGCTCTTTGAAAAGATGCTAATAATGCGCCGTTCCATGCTGACTAAATTACCTGTCTCGCAGCTTACGACACCTACTCAGACCTTCTCAAACACGACCTGTTGAATCCGCAGCGATGGTGAGCCTGATCCCAAATCCCTTCACAGTGTACAGTAGAAAGAATTACGGTGTGAGCCAGCGGTGAGCGAATTAGAGAAATGTGAAGTGGAAGTGTGCGCTGAATAAGCTATTTTCAAGGAATACCCCCTCCTACTATTTATAGTTCCACGCATTAGTTAGCATTATACCTCTTTGACTTAATATGCACTACCGTTTCATAAGCTCATCGTTGAAGGGAAATACACTCTGTGCTCCTGCGAGAAATGGATGCTTTCTTCTTCGGACTGAACTCAAGATCCGTAAAGAGACTATGACAACAGAGGAGTATTTCTTCGATTAAAAGTTGAAAAATATTCATGATCAGATAGGAAGTCCGATAGTTCGTTAGGGAACCTTCGACCTTCACATAGCAGCTGCAGCTGTCGCTTCCTGCGGGCTCTAGGGCTGAGAATCACAAAATCATGCGGTGATTGAGATAACAGTGCAGAAAAAAGCAAGCCAACCATCGAGACGGCATAAGAGTCCTGTTGGCTCTGAGCATAATCTCAGCAATATATGAGCTACTACCACAGAGATGAGTGTGGAAAGGAGGAGCAGACCATAGCTAGAGGATATTAAAATCGAAACCTTAGCGCTCTATAGCTATAGAAATGATAAAGGTGGATACAGAACAGGAGGGTGAGAGATAAATGGGAGGTAGGTGGTATAGGCCACTGTGCAGGCAGATTCCATACTCGAAGATGGGAGAACGTGACTGCGTTCGACTTTGTACGCGGTTTAGCTACACTTTGAAGACAAACAGTACACTTTTACGGTGAATTACCTACGTGGATCCCGGTTACTGCCATTTTTGAAATGAACAGTCCGCATTTTGAAGTAACTGCTCATTTTCCCGTTTAAAAAGTCAGGATTAATTGGTGATTTGGATTGCTACGCGCGCTGCTGCCAACGCATAGCCAGACGCAGCTACATGTTGACACACTTCACTCTAGTAGCTCGTACAGAACGACTTTCGTTGCGAGGCGTTTGCATCACTACAAGTGCAGCGCCTCGAAAACAGAACTACCACTACCCTACAGCCCCTTCCTCGGGCACTTTCTAAAGGAAAAAGTGATACGCTACTGCAGCTGTGGGCACATTCACCTCGTACATGGCAAGGACAAGGATCCTCAGAGGGGAGTGTACATTCGAATTTGAAGGGATGTTGCCGTTTTGGTTAGCTGTAGTGGCATGTCTTTGCCCAGCACATGACATAGTAACGTTCTCTTGAATGGAAACATCCCACGAAAATGCATCCTTCGCCAGTTTCAACTGAAAGAGCAGTCGCACCCCTCCGGATATGGATTGGAACAGGTTAAGCACTATCGGCTGCCCTAATTGAAGCTGGAACGGGATACTATTGGCATAACCTTGCTACACAGCTTGCAGTTCAGAGGGCCTTCATCAAAATAGAGGACGGAATGAAATTCGTTTTCGTTATTAGAATCACCTTTCGATCCATGGGATCGTTGATATTTTTGATCTCGGTACTGTTTGGATCAAGAACGTAGTCATCTGAGTAGTCCATACTTTTTGCCTCATCGTCAGCTGTATAGTCCTTTGATTGTGCACTTGTGACATTTGAAGACAACCTACACCAATAATATACAGGTCAATCGCCTTGTTAGATAACTGCTGTTTTACGCCGCAGTACGCGTTACGAAAGTTATCACAAGAATGCTGAGTTATGGGCAAAAGTCGTGCCCCAGGCGGGAGTCGAACCCGCACCTCACGCTTTCCGGGCGAGTGCGCTATCCGTTACTCACACGATTAACGGCTGACCGGCTCACCAAGTTAAACGTGTGAGTGCTGTAAGGCTACGGCATAAGCCGTTAAGCTGAGAGGGTGAAATAGGCCCTGGTGGCGTAACGGATAGCGCACTCGCCCGGAAAGCGTGAGGTGCGGGTTCGACTCCCGCCTGGGGCACGACTTTTGCCCACAACTCAGCATTCTTGTGATAACAGCAACTCGCCATTTAACTATAGCTGAAGAAGCTTCATGAAAGTAAGGTGCATGCAAATCTGGCCTTTGAACCGAGCACCGAATGCTGTCCTTTCCATGCTAATGTTTCTTCTCTCAAACAGGTTTGATTGACTTACCCACCCTCATCCCCCACAAATCCTATCCGCAGCCTCAACGTGGCGTGGGGGTGAACGGTTTTGGACTGTTCCAAACCGTACCAATGCGGAGGGTGCCACGTCAGAGCCTGGCGAGCTACGCGTGGTTAAATTTCTTCTCGCCGAAAACAGTAACAACTATGGGCCTCATTCCCCTGAACCTGAGGGAACCACCGACAGGGCGACGTCGGCTGGGACCGCTCGGAGCGAGCTGCAAGAATCACAAGGCCAACGGAGATTCAAGTCGCTGATGAGTGGGATGACGATCTGTACTCTCAACGCAGGGACGCTTGCATCGGAAGCAAACATCGAAGGCGAAGCATCGAGACGATGAAGTATCTCCGTTAACACCCTTACTTAAGTATACGGAAGTGGAGAAGCACTGCTGCAGAAACATGCCACAACAGAGGCGTTGGCGTTGTGACCGTCCTCGCCAACACGTACTTGGCCATGAACATCGAATCGTGCAAAATCTGACAACCCCGAATCGAAATTTGGCGATTGAGAAGATGTGTTCAACTCAGCTTGCGACAACTTTGTCGATAACGCACAAACATGCAAGCATACGGCGAGGATTGAGCTCGCGAAGCTTTTCTATACGGAATGGCGCAGTTCTCCAAAGGACCCATACTTCTTCACGCAGCAACTTTCTTCAAGGTCATCTCGGTGATTTCGAAGACTGAAGAATCGGACGGCAACAGAAGGCAGGGATAACCGAGTGGGCAAGAGTGTAAACTCATAATCTCACTCTGAGCCACGAGTTCGATCCCTGCCGAGGCACAAACCTGCCTTGCAAAAATTGCAAAAATGGGGACGATACCAGCGTCAGGCCCAGGTTGACAGGCCGGCTGATGGAGGAACCCGTCACAACAATCATGACAAGTCGCAAAAGTATCAGTGTAAAAGCTAGGACGTCACCCGGAAGTGGCGCGCAGAACCCTCGCCCGAGTTCTGTGGTCAGTATGCGAGGGCTACCGAGGGGTGAACGACCTCGGCCAAAGAAGCTAGTTCGAATTGGGACCCTGAACGTGGGGTCGCTTACCGGGAAGTCTCGTGAGGTTGCCGACCTCATGAGACGCAAATATCCAAGTCCTATGCCTTCAGGAAACGCGATGGAAGGGTGCGAAGGCCCGCGAGATTGGAGAAGGTGTCAAACTCTTCTACAATGGAGCAGACACCAAACGGAATGGCGTGGCCATAGCGGTGGCAGAATCCCTCAAGGACTGCGTCTCCTCTGTGAACAGGATCAGTGACCGGATCATGGGAGTGAGAATGGACACGAAGGAGGGGTACTGGACAGTACTGACCGTGTACGCACCACAATCCGGTTGCTCCGAGGCGGAAAAGGATGAGTTCTACCTGACCCTGGACGAGGCCATAAGATCGGTTCCGGAAGAGGACTACCTCACCATAGCTGGGGATCTGAATGGTGGGAACTGACAGAAGGGGTCTAGAAAGGGTGCACGGAGGTCAAGGAATAGGGGCAAAGAACGCTGAGGGAGAACGGATCCTTGACCTAGCCACAGCCCACGACTTAGCAATCTGCAGCACCTTCTTTGCGAAAAGGAAGACCCAGAAGATAACCTTCAGCAGTGGAGAG